GATTGCAGAAAAAGGGATTATATTTGGAAAAGCATACCAGAACCCCTTGGCCCAGGAGGGGTTACAAAAGACTGATCCAGCACCATTAACTCTTCCAAAGTCAACGCCAGAAATAGGGTGACCAGCTAGCAAGTGTAAAAAATCAGGACAGGGGGTGGGGGTAATAGGAGCATATATAAGAAAAAGCCCCCAAAATCGGGACTGTTCCGATAAAATCGGGACTTCTGGTCACCCTAGCCAGAAACAACATAGGAGCCCTTGACTTATGGAGAACTGTTTCAATTCCAGGGTAAACTACTGCACATCTGCATTACGTCCTTGCAAGGAGTCAGACTGATGCAGACTTCCTCCAGTCAGATTACAAGTCACTCTCAAAATAAGTCCCCATGAACTCTAAAGCTAAAATTGCTCATAGCCGAGGGAACATACGTTTCAATGCTGGTCATTGTCAAAGTTCGGGGAAACTGCACCTATATTTCTCCTCAGAGGACCAGCAAGGATACCCAGGCTTCTGGCTCCCGAGCCTCACCCCCATATCTCTACGTCCTGAGCAGGGTATTTCCAGGCTGACCAGTTCCCTGCCTTCACTGTGTTATTTCTAGCAAAAGTCAGTTGGCTTAAGCAGACCTGCTTTGCTTCACTCCTCAGATGGTACGCAATGGCACAGTTGTTATAAGTTACCACACAGCTCTTTCTAAGCAAACAAATTTTACTCGTAAGGTAAAAGCACATCAGAGAAAAAATATAAAAGAGCCCCACGCTAATAACCTTAACAGAGATACTCCCTCCCTGCCCTCAGTCTCCTCAAGGGCTCTTGTGGTGTCAGTCCTTGCAACCCTTCCCAGGAAGGAGTGGGGCCCTCCCCTTGGCAGGTGGTCCTGTTTGTTTGATGGATCGGAATGAAGGCTCTGAGTCAGTTTAAACTCCAGCTTTGTATTCAGAAGTCCTTTCTTTGTCTGTTTGGTCCCTGGAGAACCCAGTTTGGATCTTTGAACTGATCTCACGGAACAGGTGATCCCCAGACAAACGGTCCACCCCTCAGGGTGAAGCTTCAAAGGTGGAGTCCGTAGGTGGGGTTGCAATCCCCTCCTCCCCAGTACTTCCTAGGAATTCCACTTCATACACATTGCCCTAAAAGATCCATCATGTCTTGTGAACCACATTGTTCAACAGTCTCTTGAAGTTCTCAGTACTTCCCAGATGTTACATTAATCCTGTCTTCCTCCTAAAGTCCCATACAATCCCACAAAAGGACATAACCATTTGCATTTTTAACACAGTGGGCTCCTAAAATACTTACACTTAATTCAATAAGGTTTAACTTAATTCAGTAAGATTTGTCCAGGAGATTGCAGAAGATTGCCACCTGTCCCAGTCATATCCACTCATATCACTCCACTGGCTAAGCCAGAAGGGAGAGGATTGGTTGAAGGAGCTGTGCCAACTTGCCAATTTCAGTTATAAAGGGTTTTCAGCAAATTTTGCCATATGGTATTGTGTGGTTTGTGATTCACTTTGACTGCTCAGTTCATTTCACAAAGGCCAAGAAAAACTTTTTTTTGTCCTTGCAGAACTCAAAATGGCAAAAATGGGATTTTCCTGACTTTTTTTAAAACTAACCAAACACTCTCCCCCTCCAAGCAAACATACAAACACTGTCTCACTTTTGGGCCAAGACCAAGCATGGAAAATTTTAACCGAACACAAATGTTCCGGCATGTTCTGAGCATTAGTAACAAATTGTTTTACATTTTCACTAATACCTGGAAGTTATCTGAACATGACCTCACAAATTACAGCAAACCAGAGTCGGTGCTTTTATATGTAAAAATATTTGTAAATCAAATTTACTCTTCTACAAGCGCCAGTTTTCCCCTTTCATGAGTTGTCCTGTAGGACTAAAATTGTTACTTCCTGACACTACAGCATCATGCAAACTTCACACAATGTGATACCGGAATTGAATTTTGAGAGATTTTTAAAATATCACACAAAGTTTTCTTGCAGGAAGTAGAGAGACCTGTGAAAATCAAGACTGTCCCATTAAAATCAGTGCAAGTAACAACCTACTGGATTCTGTAGTGTATGAATGAGTGAATTTTCTGTTCAACCTCAGGATAAAAGTCTGTAGAGATTCCCCAAACAGTGCAGCCTCCGTATCATTTCTAGGAATTGTTAAAAGAAACCAAAGCAGAAGCAGAATAGAGAGAAGAAAGTCTGTTTACCATCACAAAAATTGTTTCCTTGGTCTAAGGGTATGTCCACACTATGAAATTAGGTTGAATCTATAGAAGTCAGTTTTGTAGAAAGGTTTCAGAGGAACAGCCGTGTTAGTCTGTATTCACAAAAAGAAAAGGAGTACGTGTGGCACCTTAGAGACTAACCAATTTATTTGAGCATGAGCTTTCGTGAGCTACAGCTCACTTCATCAGATGTTTACCGTGGAAACTCTTCTGCAGTTTCCACGGTAAACATCTGATGAAGTGAGCTGTAGCTCACGAAAGCTCATGCTCAAATAAATTGGTTAGTCTCTAAGGTGCCACACGTACTCCTTTTCTTTTTAGTTTTGTAGAAAGCGTTTTTATACAGTCGATTGTGTGTGTCCCCACACAAATGCTCTAAGTGCATGTAGTCAGCGGAGTGTGTCCACAGTACCAAGGCAACCGTTGACTTCCGGAGCGTTGCACTGTGGGTAGCTATCCCACAGTCTAAAACATTGTCGCTGGTGGTTCTGGGTACATATCGTCAGGCCCCCCTTCCCTCCCTCCTTCCGTGAAAGCAAGGGCAGACAATCGTTTTGCGCCTTTTTTCTTGAGTTACCTGTGCAGACGCCATACCACGGCAAGCATGGAGCCTGCTCAGCTAACCATCACCGTATGTCTCTTGGGTGTTGGCAGATGTGGTACTGCATTGCTACACAGCAGCAGTTTATCGCCTTTTGGCAGCAGACAGTGCAGTATGACTGGTAGCCGTCGTCGACGTCATCCAGGGTGCTCTTTTAACTGACCTTGATGAGGTCAGGGGCGCCTGGGCAAACATAGGAGTGACTCAGCCAGGTCATTTCCCTTTTAAGTTTCGTCTCATGGCGATTCAGTCCTACCGGCAGTGCACTGTCTTTTAATCTGCAGCCAGCAGAAGACGATGGCCAGCAGTCATAGTGCACCGTCTTCTGCCAAGCTCCCAGGAGATGAGGATGGCTAGCGGTCGTACTGCACAGTCTGCTGCCAGCAAGATGTATAAAGATAGATGAAGTGAATCAAAACAAGAAATAGACCAGATTTGTTTTGTATTCATTTTCTCCTCCCTCCCTCTGTGAAATCAATGGCCTGCTAAATCCAGTTTTGAGTTCTATCCTTGAGGTTTTGAGTTCTATCCTTGAGGGGGGCACTCTGTTTCTCAAAAAGCCACCCTCTTAGTTGATTTTAATTCCCTGTAAGCCAACCCTGTAAGCCATGTCGGCAGTCGCCCCTCCCTCCATCAGCGCAACGGCAGACAATCGTTCCGCGCCTTTTTTCTGTGCAGACACCATACCACGGCAAGCATGGAGGCCGCTCAGATCACTTTGGCAATTAGGAGCACATTAAACACCACACGCATTATCCAGCAGTATATGCAGCACCAGAACCTGGCAAAGCGAAACCGGGCAAGTAGGCGACATCAGCGCAGTGACGAGAATGATGAGGACATGGACACAGACTTCTCTCAAAGCACGGGCCCTGGCAATGTGGACATCATGGTGCTAATGGGGCAGGTTCATGCGATGGAATGCTGATTCTGGGCTCGGGAAACAAGCATAGACTGGTGGAACTGCATAGTGTTGCGGGTCTGGGACGATTCCCAGACTGCGAAACTTTCGCATGCGTAAGGGCACTTTCATGGAACTTTGTGACTTGCTTTCCCCTGCCCTGACACACAAGAATACCTAGATGACAGCAGCCTTCACAGTTGAGAAGTGAGTGGCAACAGCCCTGTGGAAGCTTGCAACGCCAGACAGCTACCGGTCAGTCGGGAATCAATTTGGAGTGGGCAAACCTACTGTGGGGGCTGCTATGATCCAAGTAGCCAACGCAATCAAAGATCTGCTGATATTAAGGGTAGTGATCCTGGGAAATGTGCAGGTCATAGTGGATGGCTTTGCTGCAATGGGATTTCCTAACTGTGGTGGGGCCATTGACGGAACCCATATCCCTATCTTGGCACCGGAGCACCAAGCCGCCGAGTACATAAACCGCAAGGGGTATTTTTCAATAGTGCTGCAAGCACTGGCAGATCACAAGGGACGTTTCACCAACATCAACGTAGGATGGCTGGGAAAGGTACATGACGCTCGCATCTTCAGGAACTCTGGTCTGTTTCAAAAGCTGCAGGAAGGGACTTTCTTCCCAGACCAGAAAATAACCGTTGGGGATGTTGAAATGCCTATAGTTATCCTTGGGGACCCAACCTACCCCTTAATGCCATGGCTCATGAAGCCTTACACAGGTGGCCTGGACAGTAGTCAGGAGCTGTTCAACTACAGGCTGAGCAAGTGCAGAATGGTGGTCGAATGTGCATTTGGACGTTTAAAAGCGCGCTGGCACAGTTTACTGACTCGCTTAGACCTCAGCAAAACCAATATTCCCACTGTTATTACTGCCTGCTGTGCGCTCCACAATATCTGTGAGAGCACGGGGGAGACGTTTATGGCGGGGTGGGAGGTTGAGGCAAATCGCCTGGCTGCTGGTTACGCACAGCCAGACACCAGGGTGGTTAGAAGAGCACAGGAGGGCGCGGTGCCCATCAGAGAAGCTTTGAAAACCAGTTTCATGACTGGCCAGGCTACGGTGTGAAAGTTCTGTTTGTTTCTCCTTGATGAAACCCCCGCCCCCTTGGTTCACTCTACTTCCCTGTAAGCTAACCACCCTCCCCTCCTCCCTTGGATCACCGCTTGCAGAGGCAATAAAGTCATTGTTGCTTCACATTCATGCATTCTTTATTAATTCATCACACAAATAGGGGGATAACTACCAGGGTAGCCCAGGAGGGGTGGTGGAGGAGAGAAGCACCAGGAGGGGTGGTGGAAGAGGGAAGGTCAAGGCCACACAGCACTTTAAAAGTTTTAAACTTTAAAACTTATTGAATGCCAGCCTTCTGTTGCTTGGGCAATCCTCTGGGGTGGAGTGGCTGGTTGGCCGGAGGCCCCCCAACCGCGTTCTTGGGTGTCTGGATGAGGAGGCTATGGAACTTGGGGAGGAGGGTGGTTGGTTACAGAGGGGCTGTAGCGGCGATCTGTGCTCCTGCTGCCTTTCCTGCAGCTCAACCATACACTGGAGCATATTGGTTTGATCCTCCAGCAGCCGCAGCATTGAATCCTGCCTCCTCTCATCACGCTGCTGCCACCTTTCAGCTTCAGCCCTCTCTTCAGCCCTCCACTTACTCTCTTCAGCCTGCCACCTCTCCTCCCTGTCATTTTGTGCTTTCCTGCACTCTGACATTGTCTGCCTCCACGCATTCGTCTGTGCTCTGTCAGTGTGGGAGGACAGCATGAGCTCAGAGAACATTTCATTGCGAGTGCGTTTTTTTCGCCTTCTAATCTTCGCTAGCCTCTGGGAAGGAGAAGATTCTGTGATCCTTGAAACACATGCAGCTGGTGGAGGGGAAAAAAAAGGGACAGTGGTATTTAAAAGCACACATGTCAAGGTTCCTCCCCCACTCTAAACTCTAGGGTACAGATGTGGGGACCTGCATGAAAAACCTCCTAAGCTTATCTTTACCAGCTTAGGTCAAAACTTCCCCAAGGTACAAAATATTCCACCCATCGTCCTTGGATTGGCCGCTACCACCACCAAACTAATACTGGTTACTGGGGAAGAGCTGTTTGGACGCGTATTTCCCCCCAAAATACTTCCCAAAACCTTGCACCCCACTTCCTGGACAAGGTTTGGTAAAAAGCCTCACCAATTTGCCTAGGTGACTACAGACCCAGACCCTTGGATCTTAAGAACAATGAACAATCCTCCCAACACTTGCACCCCCCTTTTCCTGGGAAATGTTGGATAAAAAGCCTCACCAATTTGCATGGGTGACCACAGACCCAAACCCTTGGATCTGAGAACAATGAAAAAAGCATTCAGTTTTCTTACAAGAAGACTTTTAATAAAAATAGAAGTAAATAGAAATAAAGAAATCCCCCCTGTAAAATCAGGATGGTAGATAGCTTACAGGGTAATTAGATTCAAAAACATAGAGAACCCCTCTAGGCAAAACCTTAAGTTACAAAAAAGATACACAGACAGAAATAGTTATTCTATTCAGCACAATTCTTTTCTCAGCCATTTAAAGAAATCATAATCGAACACATACCTAGCTAGATTACTTACTAAAAGTTCTAAGACTCCATTCCTGGTCTATCCCCGGCAAAGACCCAGCATACAGACAGACACAGACCCTTTGTTTCTCTCCCTCCTCCCAGTTTTTGAAAGTATCTTGTCTCCTCATTGGTCATTTTGGTCAGGTGCCAGCGAGGTTACCTTTAGCTTCTTAACCCTTTACAGGTGAGAGGAGCTTTCCCCTGGCCAGGAGGGATTTCAAAGGGGTTTACCCTTCCCTTTATATTTATGACAACACATTTTATAGAACAATGGGTACACTCTTTCACGGTAAACCTTGCTGTTAACGTTACATACATAGCACATGTATTTTCGTTCCAAGGTCGCATTTTGCCTCCCCCTACAGCGTGGCTAGCCCCTCATCCCTCCCCGGGCTAACGTGGCTAACAGCAGGGAACATTTCTGTTCAGCTACAGGCAAACAGCCCAGCAGGAACGGGCACCTCTGAATGTCCCCTTAAGAAAAGCACCCTATTTCAACCAGGTGACCATGAATGATATCACTCTCCTGAGGATAACACAGAGAGATAAAGAATGGATGTTGTTTGAATGCCAGCAAACATACACCGCAATGCTTTGCTCTACAATGATTCCTGAGTACGTGCTACTGGCCTGGAGCGGTAAAGGGTCCTACCATGGTGGACGGAATAAGGCTACCCTACCCAGAAACCTTTTGCAAAGGCTTTGGGAGTACATCCAGGAGAGCCGCAAATGCCAGGGCAAATTAATCATTAAACATGCTTGCTTTTAAACCATGTATAGTATTTTAAAAGGTACACTCACCAGAGGTCCCTTCTCCACCTGGCGGGTCCGGGAGGCAGCCTTGGGTGGGTTCGGGGGGTACTGGCTCCAGGTCCAGGGTGAGAAACAGTTCCTGGCTGTCGGGAAAACCGGTTTCTCCACTTGCTTGCTGTGAGCTATCTACAACCTCATCATCATCATCTTCCTCGTCCCCAAAACCTGCTTCCATATTGCCTCCATCTCCATTGAAGGAGTCAAACAACATGGCTGGGGTAGTGGTGGCTGAACCCCCTAAAATGGCATGCAGCTCATCATAGAAGCAGCATGCTTTGGGCTCTAATGCGGAGCGGCTGTTCACCTCTCTGGTTTTCTGGTAGGCTTGCCTCAGCTCCTTAAGTTTCATGCGGCACTGCTTCGGGTCCCTGTTATGGCCTCTGTCCTTCATGCCCTGGGAGATTTTGACAAATGTTTTGGCATTTCAAAAACTGGAACGTAGTTCTGATAGCACGGATTCCTCTCTCCATACAGCGATCAGATTCCGTACCTCCTGTTCAGTCCATGCTGGAGCTCTTTTGCGATTCTGGGACTCCATCATGGTCACCTCCGCTGATGAGCTCTGCATGGTCACCTGCAGCTTGCCGTGCTGGCCAAACAGAAAATTGAAATTCAAAAATTCACGGGCCTTTTCCTGTCTACCTGGCCAGTGCATCTGAGTTGAAAGTGCTGTCCAGAGCGGACACAATGGAGCACTCTGGGATAGCTCCTGGAGGCCAATACCATCTAATTGTGTCCACAGTACCCCAAATTCGACCCAGGAAGGCAGATTTCAGCACTAATCCCCTCGTTGGGGGTGGAGTAAGGAAATCGATTTTAAGAACCCTTTAAGTCGAAAAAAAGGGCTTTGTCATGTGGACGGGTGCAGGGTTAAATTGATTTAATGCTGCTAAATTCGACCTCAACTCCTAGTGTAGACCAAGGCTAAGAAAACAGGAAGACCATGATTATATTTCGCAGTCTTTGTAAATACTACATCAATGTCAGCAAAACAATGTCACGCTGTCCCCTAAAAATCCAGATGGCTCTTAATTTGGCAAAGAAGAAGGTATAAACCACACACAGAAGAGAGATTCTTTAGCTGTGTATTGCTTACATCTTAAATTCTTTCCTTGTTTATATGTTACTTTACGTATCATGGTTTTGTGTTTAGTTTAGTTTAAACTTGCAACATACTAAACTAAACATACTCTACTGACTGAGCTAGCCAGGCATGTTGCAAGGTTAAACTTGTTCATCCCAGCCACCAATTCTATTAGAAGTAGTAAAATGAAAAAAACCCACTTACACATAATGAGTGGGATATTCAAAAGAATGTATGTGACTTAAGAACACAAGTCCCATAGACTTTCAACAGGATTTGTGTTACGCCTGTGGCTCTCAACCTATGCAGACTACTGTACCCCTTTCAGGAGTCTTGACTTCTCCCAAGTTTCACCTCACTTAAAAACTACTCACTTATAAAATCAGACACAAAAATACAAAAAAGTGTCACAGAACACTATTACTGATAAATTGCTTATTTTCCCATTTTCCCATATAATTATCAAATAAATCAATTGTAATATAAATATTGTATTTACATTTCAGTGTATAGTATATAGAGCAGTATAAACAAGTTATTGTCTGTATGAAATTTTAGTTTGTACTGACTTCGCTAGTGTTTTTATGAAACCTGTTGTACAACTAGACAAATGTCTAGATGAGTTGATGTACCCCCTGGAAGATTTGTGCGCACCCCAAGAAATATACGTACGCCTAGTTGAGAACCACTGTGGAACATCACATAAATGATTTTGAAAATACCAGCCTAGATGTCCTAGCAATTTTATCATCATCCAGTTAATTTAAAAATATTTTGTTTATGGAAATGTTCAGCATTCCATCATGGGTTTGTAAATAATTCCAGGGTAGACTCACAGGAAGAAATGAGTGAGCAGAGATCTGAATGCAAGTTACTTTAGGAATTACCTGTTTTGTTTGATGCTGCTATAGACATGAAATATTCCATCATCCTCTTCATGTCCAATGTGTATACAATAAACAGATGATCCAATAAACTGGAGAGCCCTATATGTAGGTCTTCCTACACCCAACTCCTTCGGACCATAGGAACTGCATGGTTGTATCAGATCCATTGTCCATCTAGTCGGTTATCTTGTCTCTGACAGTGGCCTGCAACAGAGATATTTCAGTGGAAAATACAGGCAGATGTAGGATAATCTGCCCCCAACGGTAGGTCTCTTCCTGATCACTAACAGAGAATGGTTTAAACCCCAAACCATGAGATTTAATATCCCTTTCAAAATTTTTATCAAAATGAATTATAACTCTGGACTTCCTTTGAAAGAACGAGGAGTACTTGTGGCACCTTAGAGACTAACAAATTTATTTGAGCATAAGCTTTCATGGGCTAAAGCCCACTTCATCAGATGCATGCAGTGGAAAATACAGTAGGAAGATTATATATATAGATACAGAGAACATGAAAAAATGGGGTTGTCATACCAACTCTTAACGAGACCGATCGATTAAGGTGGGCTATTATCAGCAGGAGAAAAAATACTTTTGTAGTGATAATCAGAATGGCCCATTTCAAACAGTTGACAAGGTGTGAATAACAGCAGAGGGAAAATTAGCATGGGGAAATAGTTTTTAGTTAGTGTAATGACTCAGCCACTCCCAGTCTTTATTCAAGCCTAATTTAATGGTGTCCAGTTTGCAGATTAATTCTAGTTCTGCTGTTTCTTGTTGGAGTCTGTTTTTGAAGTTTTTTTGTTGAATAATTATGACTTTTAGGTCTGTAATTGAGTGTCCAGGGAGGCTGAAGTGTTCTCCGACTGGTTTTTGAACATTATAATTCTTGACGTCAGATTTGTGTCCATTTATTCTTTTGTGTAGGAGACTGTGTGGTTTGGCCAATGTACATGGCAGAGGGACTTCCTTAGTATCTACATACATGTCCAATTGCTTTTGGAATCTTAAATTCTTGGCCTCAATGACATCCTCGGGCAGTGAGTTCCATAGTTTAATAACACGCTGTGTGAAAAGTATATTTCTTTTACTGGTTTTGGCCCACCCCCCTTTAATTTAATTGAATGCCCCCTTGTTCTTATGTTATATGACAGGGAGAACAGACATTCCTGATCTACCTTTTCTGGAGCATTCATTATTGTATATACTTTTATCACCTTCCTTCTTATTAATCTTCTTTCTGAAGTCAATAATCCCATTTTTCCAGTCGGAGAGGTTTATTTTATCTCCTTAATCATTTTGTCGCTCTTCTCTGTACACTGAATTCTGAAATATCCTTTTTGAGATGGTGTGACCAGTCCTGCACACATTATTCCAGATGTAGCTACACACTGATTTATATAAAGACAGTAGAATATTCTCTGTATTGTTCACCATCCCATTCCTTAGGAATTCTAATACTTCGCTTTTTTGACCGAGGCTGCACACTGAACAGAGGTTTTCATTGAGCTGTCCACAATGACAGGTAGATCTCTTTCCTGAGTTGATACAGTTAATAATTTTGAACCCTCTAATATGTAGGAGTCGTTAAAATTTTCCCTCCAATGTGCATTACTTTGCATTTATCAACACTGTATTTCATTTCCCATCATGTTGCCTATTCACCTAGCTTGTCACGTCTGAAGTTTCTCACAGTCCTCTCTGGTCTTGACTAAGTGAAGTAACTTTGTGTCATCTGCAAAGTTTGCTACCTCACTACTCAGCCCCCTTTCTAGATCATTAACAATTATAATAAATAACATAGGATCTAGCCCAGAATGTTGGGGGACCCAGCTGTTAGCCTTTTGCTATAATGAAAATTTGCCATTTGACTCCCCTCTTCTAGACAGTTTTTGATCCATGACAATACTTCACCTCTCAGCCCACGACCACTTAAACTTCTTTAGTGGCCTGTTCTGCAGGACCTTGTCAAAAGCCTTTTAGAAATCTCAATAGTCAACGATTTGCCATTATCCACTAATTTACTGACACATTCAAAGGATTCTAAGAGATTAGGGAGACAATTTTCCGATGCAGAAGCCATGCTGATGAGATTCTCTCAGATCATGATCTTCTAGGTGTTTTGTCGTTCTGTTTTTAATTATAATTTCAATCTATATGTCAGGTACAGACATGAGCCTTACCTGTCTATAATTCCCTGGATCAACCCTACGGCCTTTTTAAAAGAAAGGTACAACATTTACTGCCATCCAATCTTCTGCAACAGTGGCTGTTTTGAATAAGAGACTGCATATTTTTATTAGCAGCTCAGCTTTTAATATTTAAATTTCAGTCACCAAGAGCACCTTGACTTTAATCCTAGAAAAATACAGGTCTAGGGTAGGAATCTCCCCAATCTTCTCCATGGTGAAGTCTAATGGAAAGAAATAATTTAACTCCTCAACATCCTTATCTTCTGAATTGCTCCTTTTAATCCCTAGAGATTCAGTGCACCCATAGATTCTTCATAGGCTTCCTGCTTCTAACATAGTCAAAGTATTTCTTGTTTGTTTTTACACCTTTAGCTAGTTGCTCCTGGAAATCCATTCTGGTCCTTCTAACTTCCCTCTTACTTAATGCCTCCTGTAATTGATATTCCTGTTTATTGGAGTCACTAGGGTCAGATTTCCAAATTTTGAAAGAGATCTGTTTGGTTTGAACAGCTCTTTGAACTTTGCCCTTTAGCCATCATGATTTCCCTCTTGTCTTTCTGATTCCCTTTTTGTTCAGTGGTTCACACATCTTCTGAGTCTTTTTTTTCGGTAACATCCATCCCCCCTCTCAGGATTTTACTTCCTTTCAAAGAAACAAAGTGCAATGAAAATGGGTCAAATTCTGCTCTGTCATACCCAGGCATTAAGTTCAAAGAGTCGGCACAAATGTAACTGAAAGCAGAATTTGATGCCATAGAAAAGGGGCATTAAAAGAGGGAGAAGAGTAAGTGGGAAGTTATCTGAAATAGGATCATGGCATTCAAAAACGAGACAATTGGGCAAATGATAACCCCATGCAAAGGAAGCATACAGAGGGCATACCAGATATTACACTGATACAACAGAACTTAGCCATAAGAACCAAAGAAATTATGGAATGCAATAGGTAATGATGAACAGATGAGGTCAGAGCACACACTGTATACAGTGTGGTGTTTGGAGGAAATGAATAAAGTGACCTTATGAAGCCAATCGCTCTATCTTAAAAGTTTTTTTTTAAGTCACATCCTAGTTTGTTTGGAAATGCAACCCACAGCTATGTAAAGAAACACTGACTTAGCGTCAGGTCATGATTGCATAAACCTGTTTACAGTAGTTGGGGTTTGGGCAGAAATAAAGGAAGCAGCATGAGAAAGCCATCGTAAACTGTAAGGCTGACTGATGCAAGGTGAGTCTCCTCACTCAAACCAGGACAGTCATTTCCCAGCTGTGGCAATCTGTAAGCTTTCAAAGGGAGAGACAAGATTTAGAAATTGTTCTTCTGCATCAAATTATTTAATATATATTAAAAAAGCTCACAACCACATTAAGACTGTGATGTTACTTGCACAGGAAACGCATAGGGATTCAGGTGGTGGTGAGCACCTGAAACATTCTTTTGAAACTCTGATTCAGCTAGGGGCTTTCATCACATCACCATGTGAGATGGCGCAATGTGCTATGCAACTCCACAAGAATACATCAAACATGCTGTGTAGAAGTTGTGCTATTTTCTAGACTTCTGGGCGGACCAAGTTAAGGCTGCAGAGGGGAAGTTTTATTCTGAATGCCCTGATTTTTGTGCAGCCACAATTGTAAATTTAATATTGCATTGATGTAGAATTTTGCAATTTAACGTTCTGTTTTTTATAAAAGGAAAATACATTAAAAATTGAAAAAAAAATTAGGAGAGGATTTCAACAATGTTAAAAATAAAAATTAAAAAACTGTACAAATTATTTTTTCAAAGAGAGAACAGATTGGAGAGAGACAAATATATAAAGGAGAAGTCATTTCTCATCCTTCACTACAGCATCAGTAGTGCGACTTCACCACATCCCCTTATGCACTTTATTGCTTTACTCATCATGGAGCCTGACTACAAATTGCTGAGCCCCTTACGTTCCCAATAACTTCAACAGGAGTTGAAGGTGCTCAGCAATTGAATGGTGCCCCATGCAGCTGTTTTCTCACCATCCTTATCCACTTCTTCATGGGCCGGCTCCTGCTCCCACAGAAGACCATGGGTTTTGCAGTAGACTTCAGTGGGAAGAGGATTAATCTGATAGCCGAAACGCACATTCCTTGACTTCAATGGGACTTTTGGGTGTACCAGGTACTCTGCAGCAGGGCCTCGCTGTTCATCTAACCCCCTATAAGCTAAAACAAGTTGTTATGCAAATAAATACAAATGATACATTAGAAAGAATGAGGAGGACTTGTGGCACCTTAGAGACTAACAAATTTATTTGAGCATAAGCTTTCATGGGCTAAAGCCCACTTCATCAGATGCATGCAGTGGAAAATACAGTAGGAAGGTATATATACAGAGAACATGAAAAAATGGGGGTTGCCATACCAACTCTTAACAAGACCCTTTGTCTCGTTAAGAGTTGGTATGGCAACCCTCATTTTTTCATGTTCTGTGTGTGTGTGTGTGTATCTTCCTACTGTATTTTCCACTGCATGCATCTGATGAAGTGGGCTTTAGCCCATGAAAGCTTATGCTCAAATAAATTTGTTAGTCTCTAAGTTGCCACAAGTACTTGTTCTTTCTGCTGATACAGACTAACACGGCTACCACTCTGAAATGATACATTATGTCTTCACAAGTATCCACTTTCCCCCACCCAACTCACATCTGCAGCCTTTACTCATGTCAAATTCACATACACTAAAATCCTATTGACTTCTCTGTATGCGGGTACGGAATGATATCCCTTATATGCTATTGCATGGCAAAATTTCATGCAGCTCTTTGAATATAGATACCTGAATGCATTAGTGGATGCTGGCAAGAAGAGAATCGCAAAAGATCAGAGACTGATGAGGACAGTGCGGAATACAGGCACTTACAATCATTATGTAGGAAAGACAAGTGTGGTCCAGTGGTTAGAATACAGCACTGGGAGCCAGAAATTCCTGAGCTCTAATTCCAGCTTTGTCGGTAACACCCTCTGTGGTGTAGGG